ACATAGATAATTAATACTTTAAAATCCAGGGATAGGAAGAAGCCACTAGGATTTGAGCACTAAAATGAATTAGTACTGTGCAAAGAGCACTGGACTTGAAACTTCTGACTTGAATTCTGTTTCTGACTTTTCACTAGACTCCTGAGACTTTTAACATGGAAGGTCGTGGTGCGACCTGCAGATTACCCATCTTAAAGCTTGAATATTTGCAGATGGCAACTTGTTACTCTTTTTTGAGATTGTTCTTTGTACTACTGGATAAACTAATTGATAGTACCCATTATTCTTCTATCCTACCTAGAGTAGGACTGAACAGGATAAAAGGATCAGTTTATTCTCCTTTTCACGTGACATCCCTGTATAAATTTGTAAGGTTCTCTAGAGCAGTGGTTCTGAAACTTGCTGGTATTAGGACCTCTTTACACTTACAGAAAATACAAGAACCCCCATTGAGCTTATTTTGTTAGTGTGGGTTACAGCTTTTGGTATTGGCTATATTAAAATTTGAAACTGTCATTTGAAATAACAATAGTAAACCCACTCATATTAATATAGCTTTGAAACAAAACTTTTCAAAAAAAATTTAAAGAATGGCTTTGTTTTACTTTTTTGCAAGTTTCATTAATTTTTAGCTTAATGGAAGACATGTACAGGATTCTGCATTCAACTTACTGCAGTGTATCTTGGTTCATATATGTAGAAAATCTGGCTTTACACAAATATGTAGTGAGAAGAGGGAACCGTAATTTTTATAATCTTTTCAGGTAATTGTGAGTAGTGTGGAATCTGAAACCATAATAATATGCCAAAATACCTTTTATATTCTGTTACTTTAAAATCTATTGATCTTTGTTATACATGGAGCGGATCTTTTTCCCAGGCATGCTTTAGTAAGATTATATATTGGTAGTTTGGAAAGTAATTGATCTATTGCATTATTCAAGTTTTCAAATGTTGACGCATTATGTTACACAGTAACAAAAAATGACTTGGTAATATCACCACACCCTTTTAAGTATTAGGAAGCTATCAAGTTCACAATGGTGGGTTCAGGTTTTCCAAATTTTAATTTTCTCTTCTTGAATGCTCAGGTTTTATCATTGGCAACAAATTAGATTGTTTTCCTTAAAATGATAAACTATTCATTTTTCATGAAAATATCTGCCAAATATCTAAGTCTGAACAACCATGTTCAGTTCTTTGAATTAAAAGTGATATTTCATGGCCAAAGCAATAGGGTAAGCTCACACTCAGTCACACAAGTGTCTTCCTCCATAGTCTTCAGACTTTAGTGAGTATCAGAAGAAAGGATTTATGGATACTTGGATTTCATTACACAGAATACTGCTGAAGGGACTAGATTTAAAATTATGAGTCAATAGTAATTCTGTAATAGTACTCAAGGAACTAGATTTAATAAAATTAGTAGTTTTTATTGCTCTATCAGACATTCTTAATGAAAATGGTGAAATTTTTTTTCATTATTTTGTTTTTGCTGTTTTGTTTCTTTCATTTAAGTGCCAGTGAAGAATACTGTGATAGAGAAGTTCAGTTGCCACTACCTTGATTTAAGGAGATGCAGCACTTTTACACCACTGTTGCTTTTGCACATTAGTGTAAATGTCAACAGTGGAAAAGGCAAATAATACCTTGTTATTATTTTGGAAATAATTTTGACCTCATGCACCCCATAACATGAAGTAATTTCTTAGACTGTCCATTTGGCTGCTGTAACATAATACCACAGACTGAGTAGGTGGCTTATAAACATTTGAAATTTATTTCTCACTGTTCTGGAGCCTAGGAAGTCCAAGATCAGTGTGCCAGCAAATTTACTGTGTGGTGAAGACCTGCCTCCTCATTTGTAAGTCCACTGTCTCCTTGCTGTGTCCTCACATAGTGGAATGGGTGAGGGGTCTCTGAGATGGTTTTCATAAGGGCATTAGTTCTGCTCATCAAAGCTGCACCTTCATAATCCAATCACCCTTAAAGGCCCCTACCTTATAATGTCATTACATTGGGGGTTTGGTTTCACATAAGAATATTGGAGGACACAAAAATTCAGTCTGTGGCAGAATGTTACAACGTTGTTGTATCTGGTATGTCTGTCACTCACCTTCCTCCAGCCCATCTTATTCTTAAAGATGTATTTCAGAAACCCAAATCTAGGACATGTCGCAGCTCTATTAAGCCTTTAGAATCTCCCTGTTGCCTCAAGTTGATACATAAAACCTCAGAATGGTGTTCAGGGTACTCTGCTGTTCAGCTTGGCTTAATCTTTCCACACTTGCCATTTACCATTTGAAAACTGCTAACCTCATTACTATATTTATGGTGATCTGTGATCATGATCTTTGATGTTACTATTGCAAAAAGATTACAGCTTACTGAAGGCTCCAGTGATATTTAGCAGTTTTTAACAATAAAGTATTTTTAAATTAAAGCATGTACATTGTTTTTTAGACGATACTATTGCACATGTAGTAGACTGTATTATGGTATAAACATAACTTGTATATGTACTGGAAAAACAGATTTCATTGTGACTCACTTTATTGTGATATTCAGTTTATTATGGTAGTTTGGAAGCAAACCCACAGTGTCTCTGAGCTATGCCTGCTTTTAGAATCCTAACCTTCTAGGTCAAGTACTCTCATGGCTTAGTTAAACACTTAAAAACACTTCAAAAGGAGAACCTATATCTAAGTTCTTCTGTATATACTAGGAAAATGCTAAGACTTTTCCAATTTTAATTTAATTAATGACCAGTGGGAAATAACAGTGAAACATTTATTTCCCTGAACAAAGTGCTTTTGGACACTTGTAGTAATGTATCATAGCAGAAAGATAATTATGAGTTTGTGGTATTTTACACATCTTGGCATATAAAATGACCATCATTTTCAATAAGCTTTTTTCTTAAATATGTAATAATCTATATCTTTCTAATATTTATAGGCTTATACAAACTAGTAAATGTGTGAAAGTGGCTTTGCAGTACAATAGTTTTGAAAAATAACTGTTTTCAGGACCTTACAGTAAACAGATCGATGCAATGCCTCTGCTTATTAGATTTTTTAAGCTATTTTGTAGTATTAATCACTGTATTTAGAAAGAAACCTGCAAGAATGTGCTTAATGATTCCCTTCTTCTATAGCTGTTTTTTTTATGTTCATTAAAGGTAGGATAAACGTGTAACACAGTTTAGCTAAAGTGATTATTGACTTAAAGGTTTCTTAAAACCAGAATCATCAAAAGATGATTAATACTTAATTCTAATAGCATCAGTTTTGGTTTCCCAGAAATTTTTTAAATTCTTAATAAGAAGGTGATAATTTTGATATTTCATAGGGTCAATATTTCACTCAAAATATGTTAGTAGTACCTTTTGTTGAAGTCGGGCACTATAATAATTGCTCAAGGGTATAGTAGTAAGATAGACATACATACGCCCGTCCTTATGGAGCTTACAGAAAGGTAGGTAAGCATTACATGAAAATTTCCTAGGATAGAGACATGTTATTGAGAAAGATTGTTTTAGTAAATAGTTTCAAAAGTAAGATCAAAAATGAGATGAATAAAATAAAAATATTGACTCTGATGATAACACCTAATAATGGGTCTTGAAACGAGTGTTGTGGAGAATGATGGCAGCAGATGCTGTATTAGCACATCAGTAGGAGCAAAGAAGGAAGTCAGTAATGGATGTCTGTAGTAAGGCACTGGCCTGGACTTCATAATTTCATTTAAATTACAACTATTCTGTCCTGTAGGTGCTGTTGTTTTTCTTCCCTGAAATAATAGGCTGAAAGAGGTTAAATAATGAATGGCCTTATTAACTGGCTTAAAAATGAGATTTGAACACAAATCTTTTTGCATTTCTAAAAATGTACATCCTCTGGCACTTAGAAAAAGTGAAGGCAGAATGTTTAGACTATATTTGAAATTTTTCATGAAAAGGGGTTGAATGGTTCAATAGGGAGTTAAATGACCAAGTCTAAGCAAAGAACTGCAGTTTATTTTTAATTATTCTTAAAATCAAATGGAATAAAATATAGGAAGGAGGATCAATGGCATCAAAAGTTTAATGGGGCTTCTTAAGCCCTGTTAGAGAAAGTATAGAAAGTTAGGGGGTGGGGTGGGTGCGGTATGTGGTAGGCACAAAGAGTAACATCTCTTACATGTCAGGAAAGAGATGATCATGTAGAGACAGTGAGACACATAAGAGTAAAAGAGGTAGCTTGTACTGAATTATGTAAATCTGTATAAGGCCTGCATTGCTTAGATTTCTTTTAAATGATCAAAGAAGTGGGATTTATTTCAGAGACCAACAGTTAGAAATCATAGAAGGCAACAAACTATGTGATTTTTATTTTTTAAATGGGAATAATATTCCTGTTGGGAAGGAGGAAACTTTATTAGGTGTATTATGAGGGTATTTGTGAAGTATAAATAAGTATTTGATAATTGATAGATTTAACTTGCCATAATAAGGACTCAAGACAGAAATGCTGTGTAATTGTGAAACGATTCACATGAGTTAGATATTTTTTATTTTCCTTCTCTGACAGTATTTTTAAGTTTGAAGTGAAATTTCAGTGGTCATAGAAGGACTGATGTGATAGGTTGTGCAAAAGATTAAAAGATGAGGAATTAAAAGATGTTAAAAGATGTTGCTAATTTCTAGGGTATCACAGATATTTATTATGTGAAACAAATAAGTAATGGCAGGAAGTGGCAGGAAATGACCCTCACTGATGGCTAGCCCGTATGTCTGAGTCTTTTCTCTGATGCTTATATGAAATAGTCAGAAACAGAGCTCGTCTTTTTACATTAGTACATATGTATTTGCTTCTTTTTACATTATTAGGCGGTCAAGAAGCAGATCAAGAAGGCGATCACATTCTAAGTCAAGGAGTAGGCGACGATCTAAAAGTCCAAGACGGAGAAGATCTCATTCCAGAGAGAGAGGGAGAAGGTCAAGGAGCACATCAAAAAACAGGTATAGTAGACTGTTAACACTGAGTGGGAAGGGAAATTTTAGAGTTCTCAACACCCCTAGATACTGCTGCTTAATGACAAAAGAGGTGATAGAAGATAGGATTAGACTGAGGGAGAAACTACAGTTTGAGGAGGCTAGCCTTGTTTTCTTGTGCTCCTTTGTAAACTTGAGGTTCCACTTACAGCTGAAGGCCTAGAGAAGATTTCTCTGTGGTACAGTTTCCTAGCTGGCCTACTGCCTTCTTTCCCTTCCTCCTTTCTGTTAAAAAACCATTGCTAAGGATTTAGTATCGCCAGCCATTCTTAGTATGCCGTTAAAGTGAGGATTCATTAAAAACAAACATCTCCACTGTAACATTTTATTTCAGCTTAAACATTCATTCAGTATTCTGCTTTTTCATATAGGGACAAACGCTTTTAAATTAGTAGGCCTAGTCGTGAGTGACACATACCGGATCACTGTGTTTTCATTTGAACCACCTTTAAAGTGTCAAGAAAACTCTTGTCACTTGAAACTACCTAGATTTTTCTTTTTCCCCATTTATAATTGTCACATAATACAATTTCACAGCACTTTTTTTCAGCATCTGTCCTTTATCTTTTTTTTAAATATTTGCCTTAATTTTCTAGAAGCAGCTTTGTATTTTATACTACTTCATCCATTTGTATATTTAATTATGTAATTAAAATAATAAAGACCACTGGCTGGGGTGGGTGGGCAACAAAATTTATTCTTGGTAAGCATTTAGCTCAACTGGGAACAGAAGTTCTAAGATAGCTTTACTGAGTGTTCAGCCTCTAACGAGGCTTTTAGTCATGTTTTAGAGTTAGTCATCTCTTCAGTCAGTCAGTCAAATAAACAAGCTTAATGAAACATCTACTATAAAAGAGCAACTAGGCATGCCTTCCTCAAGGAACTTTCCAAAGCGATACTTTAATCTCTATAGTTACAGAATAATTTAAAATAGGTTGTATTTATGGGTATAAGGGACTTACACTTATTTAATTACCTTTTGCCTGGAACCTTGGGGAGAATAGTGGTCTTGGGGAGAAAAAAAATGCTTGGGGAATAAAAGAAAACTTAGAAGATTCCTCAAAAGATTTAGAGTTGAAGTATGGTTGTAGTGCTAGCCCATTATGATGTTTTTTTCTAGTAACATTGAATTGCTCTGAATGTGTAGCAGCAGGAGAAAAGTTAGAAGGTTGGCTTTGTCTGTGATAGAGGTTAGTTAACATGGAGAGTATGTTTTGGTACAATAACTGATAATGTTGATAATTAATTTTGGTAGTGCTTTATGGGTTTGGGCCTGACAGGGGACTTAGAGTCATGGTTGGGAAACTGATAATCAGCTGAGAGAGAAAAAAGAGTGCTAAAGAGCCTACAGAAAATTATTTGGACTATCAGTGTTTATTACCAGACACTCCAGGAAACTGGCCATTTTTTTTTTATTTAAGTTGCTTACCACAAATATGCCACTTGTTACTATTTCTGTAGTTTCTCTCAGAATAAAACTTTAAGAGTAGGATTAGATTTGGTTGTACTTTTGTTTTTATTTGTAGTGCAGTATAAATTTATATCAGCTGAATCTTCTAAATACACTCATAAGTTGTGTTCATTTACTAGAGACAAAAAGAAAGAAGACAAAGAAAAGAAACGTTCCAAAACACCACCAAAAAGTTACAGCACAGCCAGACGTTCCAGAAGTGCAAGCAGGTAGGGTTGTATTGTGAATTCATGCCTTTTATTTTTTTAACTTGGTTTGCAAGAATAACAGTAGGCTGTGAACGTGAAGTGTTTTCCATCACATAGCCACATCTTCAGCAGTGAAGGCTTTCAAAGGTAGTTTGTGAAGAATAACCTAAAGTTCATCTTTTTTTTTCACTTAGTATTTAATGGTGTAAAGTGTATTTAAAATGACATGGAATTCAACAGAGGTCATTTTTTCTGTTTGGTCTGTGCATTTCACATCCTAGTTTGAATTGTTTGTGTTTTGTTTTTTTTTCCCCAAAAAACATTTACGTTTTAATGGCTAAAAGATACTGCATTACTACATTAAATTTATTTTATTACAGTAAGTTATATTTAAAATATCTACATGTTAATATTCAAAATTTTCCCACACATAGTGATTTGTTGATAAAATAATTGGAGGCAATGCAGGTTCTGATTTGTGTCTTTCTTAGAATAGTTACTCTGTCTTTAACCTGCTGTAGTGAAAATTCAGTGTTGCAAACTTTCTCTTCAGAAAATATATTTTTCACACTTAACATGGAATTCCTATGATAGTAGTAAGGGTTGGCCATACTTAATTCCATTTTCTTCCAATCTAGTTTACACGTTTTACCGCAGTGTTTGTTTTCTTAATCTTGATTAAATTCACTAGGAGGTTCACACTGTATATAAAAATTAACTCAAAACGGACAAAAGACTTAAATGTAAAAGCTTAAACTAAGAACCTCTTAAAAGAAAACACAAGTAAAACTTTATGACCTTGAATTTGGCAGTGATTCCCTGGATGACCAAAAGTACAAGCAACAAAATAAAAATAGATAAGTTGGGGATGATCAAAACTAAAAACATCTGTGTTTTGAAGAACACTGTTGAGAAAGTAAAGACAACCCACAGAGTTCTAGAAAAGTATTTGCAAATTATATTCCAATGAGGGACTTGGATCTAGATTATGTAAAGAACTGTTACAACTCAGTCACACAAAGAGAGAGAACCCAGTTTAAAATGGGCGAAAGATGTGACATTTCTCTGAGGAAGATATGCAGGCTTTCAGTAAGCAAATGAAAAGATAGATGTTCCACATTAGTCATCTGGGAAAATGCAAACCAAAACCACGTGGCAGCCACGAGAGAGGTGATGGCTCGTGTTGGTGAGGATGTGGAGAAAATGAACTCCCTACATTGCTGGTGTATCGTGCAGCTGCTTTAGGAAACAGTTTTGGCGGTTCCTAAAAAGGTTAAAACATAAGAGTTTTTTGACACAGCAGTTTTAGTCCTAGGGATGTGCCCAAGAGAACCAAAACCTTGTACACAGGTGTTCGTAGCAGCATTGTTCATAACCCAAATGTTCACTAACACAGGTAGACAAAATTGTACGTTCCTACAACAGAATATTATTCAGCAGTAGAAGGAACAGAAAAGCGCTGATACACTTTACAATACGGATGAGCCTTACAAACATTATGCCAGGTGAAAGAAACCAGTCACAAAGGACCACAGATTACATGATTCCGTTCATATGAAATGTCCAGAATTGGTAAATCTGTAAAGACAAAGTAGATTAGTGGTTGGAGTATGATAGCTAAAGGATACGGGGTTCCTTTTCAGGGTGTTGAATATTGTTTTTAAATATATATTTAAAAAGTGAAACCAGATAAAAGTGCCCAAGGAAATGCCAGACCAGGTCTAAGGGGACAAAGGGGCGTAAAAGGTGGGATATGCAGTATGTATTTTTATGTCTTAAAAACTAGAGGCATATTTTTGTCTGTTGCCTTATTTAATGGACTTACTCATGAGTACCTTACCCTGCTTAATTATTGGATTATTCTAAATTATGGCATATTCTGTACATTTTTATTGAATACCTACTATGTGTTTGCAAATGTATTACAGTATATCGGGGGCACAGAAATACAGTATAGAAAACATCTTTTCCACATAGGGGGTTTGGAGTGTTGGTTACATAAAGCAGTAATAGAAAGTAGGAGGTACACAATCCTGGCAAACTCAGTAAATACTTGATGAAGGAACAGTTGTCTGTAATGTTTCCAGGACAAGGGGTCACAGGGCTTGTAAGGTGGTTTTTATTGTCTTCAGCTCCATTTGGAAGCTCAGTGAAGACAGCTGAACGTGTAGGGCTTTATTTTTTTGTTTTCTTTGTGCCAAAGTTATATAATAGTCATCTTTCAGTTCTTACAGTTTTTGAAAATAATGACAGAAATAGAATTTTTTTTTAAATCAAAATTTAAAGAGGTGGCGGGGACATCTTAAAGCTGACTGCTCAGAGCAGGAGCTGAAGTAGGGCCGTGGTTTGCGGGACACCGGGGAGTTAGCCTGCTCTCTGTTACCACTAATTCTAGTTCTCTGAATTTTACTTAATGATTTAAAATTAACGTTGGATTTTGTTAGCAACAGCCTTTCATGTCACAACATCTCATCCTGTGTTCTGGCCACTGAATGAGTCTAAACATTCCTTAAATAATAATTTACTTCAGACTGTTCTTCCTTAAATTAGAATTTTTGTTAATCAGTTCTTCCTCAGGTTTAACATTTCTGATGTTATAATAATGACATAATGTCTGAGAAGAATTGCTATAAATTAGGGTTTTCTTGAAGGCATTAAAGGCACATAGTTGCAAAGAGAATTGTAGTTTTTTATTATTCATTTGATTCTTCAGCTCAAAGCAGTATTTGAAAAAAGCATCTTTCATTTATCAGAAGCCTGTTCCTAGTGGAGCTCCATGGTAGACACATGTGCTATGATGTGTCTGCGATTTGGGGATAATACTGTATTTTAAAGTCTAGCTTGCACATTTGTGGTTCTAGAGAGAGGAGACGACGGCGAAGCAGAAGCGGCACAAGGTCTCCTAAGAAGCCCAGGTCTCCCAAGAGAAAGCTGTCTCGCTCACCATCCCCTAGGAGGTAAGAATATTGGTCATTTAGATCCATCCTGTTTTTCGGAAACTGTCCTAGAGTTTTTCTTCCTGTTCAGGAATTCAAGTGCTAAGGACATGTTGATGTGTTCCTTCATGATCTGAGACTGTGTTCTAATACGCTGCACCCAGGACTGGGCAGTTTAGACCTGTAACCAGGTTTTAGTCTCCCTGCCTGTGTTACTTGTGGACAGCTTGTATCCAGTGATTTGAAACTGAATCTTTGCTGTCCTCTTTACAGCGAGCAAACTTAGGTCAAGCTCATCATTAAACAAGTATAAACTTACCACTACTTAATTAATGATGAAACTTCTTGAGCAGTTCCTTTCAGGCGTCTTGTTTTAAGAACATTTTACTGTCATCCTAGACATAAAAAGGAGAAGAAGAAAGATAAAGACAAAGAAAGAAGCAGGGATGAAAGAGAACGATCCACAAGCAAGAAGAAGAAAAGCAAAGATAAGGAAAAGGAACGGGAAAGAAAATCAGAAAGTGATAAAGATGTGAAAGTATGTTTACAAACTAATTTATTTTGGTGTTTTGGGTGATGCTGGTACTTTAAAGAAGTGTTTATGCTGTGAAGACGTTTACTTTTATTATTCTCCTTGGCAAAGCAGGTTACACGGGATTACGATGAAGAGGAGCAGGGGTATGACAGCGAGAAGGAGAAAAAAGAGGAAAAGAAACCAACAGAACCAGGTTCCCCTAAAACAAAAGAATGTTCTGTGGAAAAGGGAGCGGGTGATTCACTAAGAGAATCCAAAGTGAATGGGGATGATCATCATGAAGAAGATATGGATATGAGTGACTGAGTATCAGCTCTGTGGGAATCCAACTGTATACATGCATCAGTGTCATTCCTTTGTGTGATTTCTTAATGCTGTATTTGTTCATCTCAAACCTTAGATGTACACAGCTCTGAGTTATAAATGGTTACAAAGCTCCTGGTGTTGATACTAGTTTTTACATCCAAAGCTTTTAGAAAATGATACGTGGGTGACCAGTTCTTGACAGGGTGAAATCTGATTGAGTAGCCAAGCAGTCTTCCTGTGCTGGTGCTGCTTCGTGACAAGGATGAGAGGCTGCATGCATCTACAGCAGGCATGGGTTGTTTATGTTGTATGATCTCCTTTATTAAGTAAGTTCACTTATAGTCTATTTCTAGAATTTGATTCATTGCCGTAATAGGGCCATGTAGGGAATGCACTGATTGCATGTTAATTGTGGCAGGAATATCCTAAATGTCATTAAAGTCCTCCAACATGATGGATCTATTTATGGTCTTGTTTGTTGACTTGACAAATTAACATTCTTATAGTTACATCTGGAAATGAGCATTTGAAATAGATAATCCTTTAAGCCTTGTGGCTAAATTTTTGTGGCTTTTGTTTAACTTTGAAAGGTTATATATGCACTAACCTTTTTTGATGGCTATAATTAGGCTTTAATTACAGAAACAAGATTTCAAATGAAACTGTCTTTGGCAGTAAGTTAAATAGCATATTTTGAAGCAGAGTTGTATACTTTTTCATAAGGTGTTTGGGAATTTTTTTTTCCTGAAATAATTTATTCCACAGCTACATCAGTGAAAGCTATCTGCCTATCCTGAAGTCCATCTGTAAAAGAAAGTTATTTCTTGTCCTGATTTTCAATTTTCCACCCTTTTATTAATTTGTTTTAATCTCAGTGTTGGAAAAAGGGGATAGTGCATTTTAAATTGACCTTCATATGCTTTTAAAATAAGACAAATCTACTTGATAATGTACTTTTTATTTGATCTCAAGTTGTATAAAGCCAATAAATTTTGTGTTACTGTTACTGCAGTAGTAATCTTATGCACACAGTGATTCCATGTTAAATGCGAAGTAGTTAGGCAACTGTTTTCTTACAGGAGTTTCCAAGCTTCACTTTTGTGCAGTAAAAACAAAAGTAGGCTACAGTCTGTGCCATGTTGATGTACAGTTTCTGAAATTGTTTTACAAGACTTTGATAATAAAACCCTTAAACTTATGTTATGTTCCTGTAAAACCGTATTTGTATTTATTTACGCTGTTGAATGTATATGACATTTACCTCATTCATTTTACAAATCAAGTTCTTTCCCCTTTGAACTCACATTTTAATATAGTAATAAGATGAAATCCATCACTGTAGTGATTAGTTGCCATCAGAATTGTCAAAATTGGTTTAAGGTCTATCTAAAACAGTCTTTTTCTAAGTGTAATTTTATTATATTTTGGGTGTAGGACTTGGGTTGAGTAAAGCAGTGAACTTTAGGATGAACAAATGATCTCACCTGTATCTAGTAAATTTATATTTTTGGTGAATATGAACATACTTTTCTGAAATAGTATAGAAACTCAATGATCTGTATCTATTGTACAGGACTAAATAGTGTATATTTATTCGTTTATGAAATGAGTAGTGTCTGGTGGCTGGGATTAAGGGGAAAATGAGACTTGGAATTGTAGCTTTTATCCAAGTTGGAGTATAAATTTTTTTTTTTTACTTTTAAAATTGAAATGCCATATAGACAAGCTGCATTGTTTTTACAGTTTGTAGTAACTTTTTAAAGATTTTATGAAAAGGAATTTTGTCTATAGTGAGTAAGAAGTTGTAGTAATGGTCCTAATCACTGCATTTTTAAACACAAGGTTGAATGCAAATGACATTTCTTTAAAGTTACAAAAAAATTTTAGAAAAAAATTTAAAGGTTGAACCATATGACGTCACTTTTGTAAGTCAAAAACAAAATATTGGCAGTTTCACTTGGTTAAACCTAGTATTAGTCAATTCTATTCCCTTACTTGTAATCTCTGAATAAAAGTATGCTAACTTGGCAAAAGGGATTAAGAATTTTTTGGCTTTAAAACAGTGCCACTTACAAGATACTACAGTGAAGGGAGTCCATACTTAGTTTATTTTCAATGAATATTTATGCACAAAGGTAGGGCTGCGGTAGGACACGAGCCTTTAACACAGAAAACCAGTCAAAATCAAGTGAACACTGCCTCCACACTGAGTTTTGTTCTGTATTTGTTAGTATAAATGATTAAAAAATAAAAGTGGTTTTGTTAGAAAAATGTTTGTGCTATTTATTTGCTTAAATTCTTCAAGAGTAAGTGAGGTAGTGGCTATGTAGGAGTCCAGTCATGAATCTGAGCTTCATTTACAGCTGCAGAGACGTCTGTTTCTTACCTTCCTTTTCCTGTCAGTACCAAGTGGGAGTGAAACCTACCTTTGCAAAGTCGTTGGTAATTAGGAAAAAAAAACGTAGCCCTGTGTGCCTAGGTCAGTAAACGGTATCTGCAGCTTAATTACGGAGCTTTTTCAAAACTATAATAATTTAGTTTGGGATAATGTTTTGGAAAAAGCACCTTAACTGCATGCAGATAAGGCTTCGAGAAGGCTGTGTAGCCCTTTACGTTTTTGTGAAGATGAGTTTTGGATAATAAGCTTCCTAGTAGTGCTCATACGTGGAGGGTAGAAAAATGTTAGTTACCTGGGGAAAGGAAAACAAACTGGACTTCTGCTAGAACAGTAAAAACTTAACTTTACATTAACCTTGGAGTTGCATCTTGAAACAGGTTCTGGTGTGGGTGTCATAGCCTTCGCAAGACTTCCTTGGAGAAACAATACCACTTTCTTCAGATTAAGTGGTTTATGCTGTTTGAAGATTGATACACATCCTTTAAGTTGGAATTGAGAGTTCTGTTCCTTTTGTCTCAAATCTAATACATTTCATTCCTGTGCTATCTGAAGTATTTCTCAAGTGCATGTGACGGTTGTGTTTAAATACGGATTTAATGGAACTGCTACTGCTGTTTCTAAGCATCCAGAATATGTCTGTTCCTAAGGCTTTATTATAGAGGTAGAGAGACTAATTCTGGAGTTGCTGATTTTTGAGTCTGTTTTATTTTTGTTCCCATTTTCACTTTATAATATAAAGTGTATGTGAAATTCATTTAGACATTCTTTAGCAAAGTAACTTTCGTGAGAACCATGCTAATTCTTTACCAGTGAGAATATTCTTAAGAATATACTTAAAGTTTATAGTGTTACTTAGCAAGCTAAGAATTTACAGAGAAAGGATCTTAATAAACTTTTTTAAATGATGTCCTTATAAAAATCACTGGGGAAGTGACATGTTCACATTCTTTACAAAAGTCTCACTTTGTAAAGGTTATTTTTCCAGTGCAGTCACTACAATTAGTATCATACCGTTTTTTAAAAGCTAGTTAGCTAAACACTATGATTTGTGCATATGAACTTGAAGGCTAGGGTCACAGTTTCAAGAGTGAAATGTTCCAAATGATGTTTAGTATTACTGTTCAGTTACCTCAATGTGAAATTTTATCAATATACTAAATGCCGAAACTTTTTTTTTGATTCACTATGAACAAGTTAACAAATTTGTTTACTTAAGTATCAAGTTTTGGAAGACTGGAAGACAAGCATCATGTAGATTAGCATCCTGTAGTTTTGTTCTTATCAGTCTATTCAATCAAAGGAGCAGAACACTGGAAAAGATTTGCTACAGAAGTTTGACTTTAATTATGGGAGCTGGTTTAATAGTCTCAAATCTGTTTGTTGTCTGTGCTATTCATCTGATACTGGAGAGTGAAGCCCACAGGCAGTGAAGAAGGGAAGGATGGAGGAGTAAGAAAAATTGGAACTACAAGCTAGAACCTACAAGGATGCGCTGAAGCTCAGGTCAGGTCTTTTACCAACTGCGGGCCCAGCAGGTAGGCCACAATGCGTGTGGGCTACCTGATTTCTGCTTCACTTCTATCCTTCAAAACTACTCTGCCCATAGTCATTATTTAAAACACCCCAGCCAGTCACTGTTCACCTTCTTCAGTGACCAAGAATTGTGTGGGACGTACAGGTGGGTCTTAACCTGTTTTTATATTACTCAAAATTTCTACTTTAGGCTAATCACCTGGGAAACAGTCAAATTCAGGAATGACTGCCAAACACCTTTCTTTAAAACCCTTGGGAAATTTGCTTCAGTTTTGGGGGGTTTTTTAGATTCTGTGGCAAAAGGAAAATAATTCTATGTACCATAGGTGCCATTATGGCTGAAAGTACTATGCTAAAATGAGCTATAACAATTTTAAAAGTTCATCAGCAAGCAGTAAGTACTGTAAGAATGGTCACATGATGTAAAAAATGTAGTGCTTGAGATGACATTTTTAGACGGCAGCCTAAGATACTACTGCCCCAGATTCATGACATAAACTACCTTGCAAAAGTAGTTTTTGCTAATTCTTAATACACAAACGACGAGCTATGACCAGTTTTACTGCCTTTACACGTGATATAATACCTCCTGTTCATTCATGTCTGAGGCAGATTTCCCTGTCAGTTGTCTTTGAAAGTTTCCAAATGCAGCAACTTTGGTAAGGATGCATTTTGTTAATTTTAGAAAACATGGTTAAGTTACTTTTGGAGGAGTGAACGGCAGAGGTATATTGTGTCCACAGTAACCAGTAATCCTTTCACTCAGTTTTAAAGGCTAGCATACTGCACGTAGGACTTCATATTCACCTAGTTTTTTACAGCTTTTTCTCAACCATGTTTGTAAATAAAAGTACTGTAAATAAGCAAAAGGAAGCTTTCACCCCTTAATTCAGTATTTACTCCAGTCGTTTTGTGACCTCGAAATAATCTCTTTGCTATAGACTTAGTGAAAACTAGGGAGAAGACTCGATCATTCACCACCTTCCCCTAAGATGTGAATGATAAACTGTGCCTGCATAACACTATGAAAACATTTTTATTAGGGTGAGTGGGGCTCAATACCAGTTCTAAGCAGGAGAAAGAAACCGAATGGTCTTTTCAACTTCTGATGGCTCTCAGCTTCTCTGAAATGTGTTAATTTCCAGACTACCATATGTAGCTATACTCACAATACTCACAGCATCTGCTTTATGCCTCCCTTTTACGAAGTCTGATAATTCTCTGTACATGAATAGCTACAGAAAGAGGCAAACTGTCTCTAGGGAATAATTTTCTTAGAGACAAGACTCCTATATTCTTTCAAAACCATACCGGTGGCAAAAATATTGAGCAGTTCTTAAACGGCCATTTGAGGTGAACGTCTTATATAGTCCCCCAAGTTTAAACAATCCCTTCAATCACGAAGGCAGAAATTTATGGACCCACATTACAAAATCTAGATTTTCATGTAAGATTATCAAAATACATAGTGTTTTTATCTACTTACTTGAAACACAGCATATGGCTTCATTCATTAGCTGGATTAAAAGGCACATTTTGAAAAGTCTAACATTGTGAAAAGTTTATTTGCATTAAATAACTCCTTGTTTTCACCATCATAAGAGATACTGACATTTACATGTCCTTTGTGATCAAAGACATTCTAGAATGGATAATCTCTTTCTACTATTCTTTATGAAAGGAAAAGAGTTAAAAACAAAATCCAAGTGCGAAAAGTTTTCAGTAGTCTTCCTACCTCCAGTGTACCCCAGCAAAATAGTCACAGCTTTTAGGAAACTGGTCAATCCCAAGCTGCAATTTACCATGTTTTTTCCCACTGAGTTATGAAGTCTATTCCTGAAAGTATGCCACATTCCCACAAAGTGAGGGAGCCTAAAAGCAATGGTGACCACTGCCTCTCAGTGTCTCAGCCTCTTATAATCATTGATAGGATAATAGAATCTTTAAGTCACCTGATCAACAAACATTCCCAAAACAACAGGGATCAAACTCCGATTCAGTAAACCTAGCCTGGGTTTACCCACTCTTTCCACAAAATTCAACAGATCCACATAAGGTAGTCTTTGAATTTTTAACTGATTATTTTTCTTCATTATAAAATGTATTTATTAAAATGTCGACATACGCAATGTAGTATGTATCAGCATGGAAGATGCAGCTTTAAAGATGTTTATTATAAAATTTTTCTTATGGTTGATGCTTTGGATTTTTAAATAAATCATCTCTTCAATAAATGTCTCTAAACTCATTCAAATTTAAAATTCTGGAAAAAGTTTAAATTACTGGTCACTCTAAAAAACCTGACAGATGCATTCTGACACATTAATCAGGATACATTTTAAAAACATTTCTTTAGCTAAGCTCTTTAATACAACATAACATTTTATGACTGTTATACATTATTCTCCCTAATTTATTTTCATTCTGGACCTTCAAACCATCTTGGAATAAATATGAAAATTTTTAAGTGCAAAAATGAATTGAATAATGCATGATTTTAACACTTTGGAGATAAAATCAATAAATATTTTCCTGTGACTTAAAAAAATAAACAGTAGGAATTATCAATTTTGTGTACGTTTCTGGATTTAACTTGTAACAAATATACTGTTAGCATATAAAATGTTTTTACCTTATTTTGAAAGCATTAAATATGTAGGGATGTCTTAAAATATGCAGGTTGTTTTTTAAAACTGACACGAAGGCAGCCATATTCCACTAAAAACAAACAAAATAATCAGAATGATGTGCACTTATTAGGAAGCAAGTTTTTAAAAATTTGGAATTTTTTTTAAAGTGCTCAGATTTGGAAGAATATCTTTAAGCATGCTAACCATACCTTATCATGAACACAAAAAGGACTTTTAAACTCAAGTTTAGAAAAAAAAAATAGAGGTTCTATGAAAGGAAGATTAGTAACAAACATTTTCCATTGAAGAAAGAATTCAGGTAAAAACAAATAGCACCACAATGAATTGCACTAAGGTGCTAAAGGAGGTACCTTATTCCCTGCAGAGTGAACGCTCCTTCTGAAATGTATTGCAACATATAAATGCAATTGTTTAATGGTTACCATTTGGTTCATTCATCTACAGAAAAATGCATTCCTTCTAGTTCATTATACTGAACAAACATTCAAATTACTGAACTATACATAATGTTACATACTTTACATTTTATGAAAACAAAGCTTGAAGGAATATTTATAAAGGTCACCTTGAATATAAGATGACAAGTTTAAAAGGGCTTCATATCTCTTAAGACATTTAATTTATGTTAATGGTCCAGGAGTGTTTAAGATATAGATATATTTATATGCATATATATTTCAACAAGAAGT